GTTAAAGCACTGCAAGAAGCAATTTTTCCGGAGGCGCTGAAGTTGTCCAAGTTGTTCTATGATATTCAGGACAAGGCTTGAGGTACCTTTGCTGAGGGCCTGTAAGGCAGACCTGCAGTCGCTGAAGATGGTGATACCACTAAGCTGCTCCGAAGGTTCAAGATTGATGTACGTTTCGATAGCCGTAGAAATGGCTATCAATTCTGCCGTAAAATTAGATGCGATTTTTCCAGCACCAGTTGCGAACTCTCGTTTTTGATTATCAGGTAGGAGCAGTACCACTCCCGCACCTCCGTTGGTGAAAGTGGAGTCAGAAGATCCATCGTATCACTTGATGTTATTATAAATTAATATTTTGTACGATCTTTAGACATAGTATTTAGTTATCCAGCAATCACTGAAGAATTAATTAAATTATGGATCTTAAAGTTTAGTGCAGAGTGCTATTTAATATCAAATAAAATTTAGACCACATTTTACAATTTTAAAAAAAAATTTTAAAATATTCAAATAAAAAAAAAATGTAAATTTTTTTTCGAACTATTATTGACTCATTGACATTAAATACATTGGGAATGGGTTATAAGTACTTTATAAACTACAATCGATACTTCACATAAGTATTGTGACAATAATTCTGCTTATAGATTCCAGAAACGGAATAGTGGCTAATTTGTAAAGAAAACATTTTTACATGTAAGGCGCCGATAGCAAGCAACCTGGCAGCAAATGTTTTTTTATTTCTTTTTTGAGTGATTTACTAAGGTTGATTGGTTTAACGTTATTCTTACACAGCAAAAATACTTCAATGATAATTTTATTTTTTTCAAAAGATAGAACATAGACACGCACGAATTTGTTTTAAGAAATATTTTTATTAGCTTTTATTGCAAAAAGTGTCTTTTTTTTCCTTTTCCTTTATATGCTATAAAAAAATTTTTAATGATGACGTGTTATGTTTTTGCATCCAATTTCGATATGTAAAGACTATTTATACAAGCTTCATGCGCGTTAACTAGTTTAGTGTAATTTAAAATTGTTGAATCATTTACAAACTTTATTGAGCCATTAGAAATGGATACTCAAATTCCACGAAACTTTCTCTATTTTCGACGAAAACTTTTTTTGGTATATGCTCTGCATAAACATTCCGTCAAAATGACAAAATAACAATCGATATTTCTTCGAAGAAGCGAATTTCGCCAATAGCAAAGAAATATTTGTCATTCTACTTTTTAACCGAAACAATATTTGGAGTGCCAAATGCTTTCCAAATAATCACTTTATCTAGGGCTCAATATTCCTTGATCAATGTCGCCTTAACAACAAAACAAAGATAGATAAAACAGAGAGATTGATTCCCCCCCCCATGCCCGAGGCGGGATCTTTCTGGTTGGTGGACAATTCATCTTTCTTCAACGCTTTATTTTCAATTGTCTTGTCTTCACGCTAGTTTTGTCATTCTAGTAAGCAATCTCCCTCAATACCCTGCAATGCGATTTCGAGTTGAGGAAACATTTTCGTCATTTTTCGTCCGCTTCGTCACAAATCAATCAAATTTCGAGTTGAGGAAACATTTTCGTCATTTTTCGTCCGCTTCGTCACAAATCACTTGATTTCGCGACAGCATGATTCTTAAAATTATCGATTTTTAGCTCATGGATTGCTGAATTTTCAAATAATATCTGAAA